TGACGTCACGAGAAATAAAAATCACGTGACCGGAAGTGACGTCACGAGAAATAAAAATCACGTGACCGGAAGTGACGTCACGAGGAAAAAAAATCACGTGACCGGAAATGACGTCACGAGGAAAAAAATCACGTGACCGGAAGTGACGTCACGAGAAATAAAAATCACGTGACCGGAAATGACGTCACGAAAAATAAAAATCACGTGACCGGAAGTGACGTCATGAGAAATAAAAATCACGTGACCGGAAGTGACGTCACGAGAAATAAAAAATCACGTGACCGGAAGTGACGTCACGAGAAATAAACATCACGTGACCGGAAGTGACGTCACGAGGAAAAAAAATCACGTGACCGGAAGTGACGTCATAATGAAATAAAATCACGTGACCAGAAATGACGTCACGGAAAAAAAATCACGTGACCGGAAGTGAAAATTTCCCACGGAATTTTGAATGTTTACCCCGCCTATCCATGTTAGTCCGTTAAAAGCCCTCGTATATCCCCACGGAGTTATCCGTTACTCTACATAAAATAATCATTCCAAAAAATTCATACCTTATTTTTATTATTACTTACGGACAAGTGCAGATATTCTCTGGGCAATGAGGTGGATACCTCAAGCAATTAGTCTGACACCACTTGTCCATTCCCGGTATAAATCTGTAATGTTTATGTGGTAAACAGACCTGTGATCTAATCACAAGTGGTAAAACTTGATTCTCTAATCTGTAATCCTGATAATACAGAACAAATGGATTATCCTGTTGATGAATGAATGAAGGTGGTACAGCACCAGTGCTCGTTACAATATTAACATCGGCACAATTTCTGAAGGTCTCGGGTCTGCCACAACCAACGGCTTCTGTACCATTGGCACATGTGCCCCACATATTGCCTGAAATTTTTTTTTTTCCTTTATTCAATTGTTGTTGTTGTTGTTCCGCCCTTTTGTGTGCAGCCTTGGACTTTCACTCGCAAGTGATCATTTGAGGCATTTTTTTATTTCACTGGTTTATGGAACTCACCTGTGTAATAATTCCACTGCATTACGCATTGAGAGCAGGTGAGGTAAGGTGGTAATGTTACTCGATACCGAAAAACAGCTTTTTTATCACTGTCCTCTGGTATTACGAATTTCACTTCTTCCGTACCGCTGAGGTAAAGGGGATACTTGTCGAAGCATTCTTGAGTTGCTGGTAGACGGGGATTGTTGTTCGGACACATGTACAGCTCAAAGTAACCTTGATGATTGGCTGTTAGCTCTATTTCAATGTCAATGTCCTGAAAACAATTTGTGATTAGTTCCATATTTTTTAAGAATGGCCTGATTCTCCTTTAAAAAATGTGGAAATAAGTATTTTCGGAAAAAATATCTATAAGATCCGATGATTTCATCTTATCTTATCTCATCTTGTTGCTCATTTTTAAAAAGTATAAATCATTTTTTATTCAAAGCTGTGATCACATACGACAAGATTTTCTTATCTGAATGTAGAATATTCTCAGCTCATCGTATCTTATAATAATGTTATCTTATATTGAGATGATATAATCTCATCTCATCTTCTCTCCAGTCAAGGATGAAGTTGGATACGATAAAATATAATTATCTAATCCAAAGTTGTAATTATCGCATCGTCAGATTAATTATCTCACCTCAAGATAATATCATTTCATCTCATCTAAGAAAAAAAAATTTAAAAACTACCTGTCCAACGGTGTAATGTCTCGTAATAGTGCCCTTAGCGAATTCTCCCCCGGCCTCGTGAGGCCTAGGTTCCTTCAAGTGATAAGCATCACCGCATATTCCGCACTGCCCCTCATTCTGCACCCACTGCACTATAAAAAAAATCCCACAATCATGTTTCATGCTTTCTCGTTACTCGTTATTCATGGAGATTATTTTTTATTCACCAATTCAACGAAATATCAATATCAGATAGCCTTTTATTTTTCACTCGCCTGCCGCCAATTACTCCCTTCTTGCGACATTACGTGACTCATTTCAGTCGCTTTTACTGCGAGTATTTTTTTTTCGTTCACTTACCGGCGTAGCCGCCGCAAAAAAGCTCATTGTCGTTGTAGTTCACGGGATTGGGAAAACCAAATCGCCACATGCTGTTCCTCGCTGGTGGATCCATGAGCCTTCCATGACTCGTCACTTCAATCACCTTCGACAGATAATCAACACGAATGTCATTATTGAAAATGTAAAAATAGTATTTTTCATCACACTGTCCGTAAAATGTCGTTTACGGACATTGCGACGAAAAATTATGTTTGTCCCTCGGCCGAAAACAGCTTTTGACTCGTGTGATTGCATTCCTCGGCATCGCCTCAGTCTGTAACTCTCACACTCGTCAGAAAAGTTTTTTTCGGCCCTGTGACGAAAATAGCTGTTTCGATACGAGTGCGTAAAAGTGTTTTTAGACGCGGAGCGTACGTAAAATTTCACTTTCCGGACGGGTGATAAAAATTGAATTTCGCGTGCATTGAGACAAGTTGTGCGCACGAAAATTCACTCTAAGCACATTAAACCGTTTCAAAATTGTACTTTTAAGACCTGTATCACAAAAAATAAAAATGTTACATTTATAAATTTATGAAAAAAAAAAGTTGAACAGAATAAAATTAGAAATAAAATGAAATCAAAATGTTTTTCTTTCAACCCTGGCCTGATCTCATGGGATAAACCAGGATGTCGATCCTGATATTTTTTGAGGGGCAAAATGGGTGGTCTTATTGTTTTTTTCTTCATTCTGGAGAAAATTACCTGGAGAGTTAAGTAGATCCACCCGATGAGAATCCATCCTCGCTTCATGACGCTGGACCATAGACTGTCTTCCAAAATAATTCTTCGGTGTTATAAATCCTGGGGACATGAATGAATCATCGTGTGCCTGATGGATTGAGTCACTCCATCGTGTAACATAAATTATAATTCCATTAGGAAGACTAATTCCGGAATATTGATGACTTGGGATCATTGACACGGGAGATAATTTTTTTTCAGCGTGAATTCAAACTTTTTTTTTCTACTGAAATTAGACAGCTCCACGAGTCTAAATTGAGACGATATTTTACCTCAATTTTTTCGCAATTTTTAAATTCAAAATCTCGACAATGAAAAAATCAAGACAATTGACCTTGTACTTTTGTCATATAATGGCTTGAAAAATCCATTGCCGTTCAATTCAATTCTTTTACATAATTGATTGCGTGGTTTGGTAACAGTAGCGCCTTGACACTTCGTACGTGATCGAAAAAACAAGAGAGAATTGCAGAATAGAGATATGTGAGGCACATGCCAAAATGAAAAAAATACGAATAAAAAAAAAACGAATATCATCTACTATTTTATAGCCATGAAGTCCAGGGTCGGAAATAAATAGCAAAACGACCCGTTTTGCCCCACTAAATTTTTTTTTTCTCCAGAAAAACTGCCGGGACAGTACGCGCTCACCCGTTGGAGAAATATTAATCGTCGCGTCGATCAAATACAAAAAATGTTGGAAAAAATTTTTTTTCATCACTTGTGCGTAAAGTGGGATTTTTTCACACGTTGTGGTGAAAAATAAGGTTCGACACTCGTGCGAAAAGTGTTCTTTAACCTTTGGGAGGGTTGAGTATACATCTCCACGGGTCAAAAACACTTTTTGTAATACCCGCCTAAAAAGTGCACTTTTTGAAGCAGTTTAGTGTGCGTAAAGCGGTTGTTTTCTGCACGGCGTACGTAAAGCTTCGCTTTCCACACTCGTGTACAAAAACAACCACTTTACCCCCACTACCGCCCCGAACAGGGAACCCGGCAGGTGTCATAAAAAATAGGACGTGTTACACGTGCGCGCTAAAATGTGGATCTTTATGCACTAGTAACATAATATACTAATACGCTTACGGATGAGCGAAAAGTCACTTTTTACCATGAGGTGAAGGTAGCAGCAGTGATAAAAAGTCACATTCGTCGGGTAATACTTTCATCTCTTGACGACGTAATGTATTATTTTGACACTGCTGCTACCTTCACTTTGTACCAAAATGTGGCTTTTTCTTTACCCGTAAGTAAAAATTCGTTTCGTTCACTTGTAATCGAAAAAAGGCTCAGTTCGGCACTCGCTATAAAATACCGCTCGACACACGTGAGACGAGAATTTTCGGCTCGTGTCATTGACAGCACCAACTTCACACCCGTAAAAATTCCGTCTCACTCACATCGAAATGTACTATTCTAATTTTGAGGAGTAGACGATTCTCAATCGAAAGAAAAAGATAGAATATTTCCAATTTACACATTTATTTGTTCATCCTCTTAACTCCCACCGGCCAGATTTATTTACGATCCGTGTGGTCCGGTTTTTTTCGACCAGTGGCATTAGCATTCATGAATTTTTTTTTTTCAAGTATTCACGATCGAATAAAGATGAGAAATCATTTCAAGTCAACGCGAGGTTTCTGGCTCACCTTCGTCGAGGTGTTGGACCCCGGAGAAAATTAATTTATCAATAAAAAAGAAATAATAATGAGTTTGAAAGAAAAAGTGAAGATTTCCTCGTCGTAGAAAACTATTTTGTCCTCACGCAGTCGTGAAAATTTTGAAAAATTGTGAAAAGTTGGAAAAAGAAAATTGAGAGGAATTTTTTTTCGTCACAATTTGTTTTGCGATGTTAAAAAATATTTGAACGCGTTTTTTCAGTCTCATTAAATAATCAGGGCGACAGATAAAAATTGAGAGGTGTTTCAAAAGGCGTTCGGTAACGGTAAAGACTCAAATGAACAAGTGATTTTTCTCTCTCTCACTCTCGCTTCTTATTCAGGAGAGGAGAGTACGTACATCATGCGTGTCAGCAGGAGAAACCGGACTCCTCGGGCCACAAATTACAATTAAATTTCAAGTGCCCTTTCAACTCCCCCCCCTCCAACCCCCCTTTTTTTCCATTTTCTCCTTTTCATGCGCTCACTGAAAAACGATCCTGGGGTACTACTCCAAGGACGTTTTTTGGAGGTCAATGGCACTCAACTAATTTCCATAATTTTTTTTCTCATTCTTTTCATGAAAATGAGGAGGAAAATCTCATTTCTCAATTTTCATAAGCTTTTCATCCCCTTCATTACATTATTTTTGGGAAAGGTGTTGGGGGTCCGTATTGACCCCATTCGATGGATCGAAAAATTTACCTATTAATTTTAAAAAAGACCACCCGTTTTTCCCCGTATTTTTTCCAAAAACTAAAAAAATAGAAAAAAAAATCTTTTCGTCGTAACGTGAGAGATAATGGAGCAAAATGGGTTGTTTTTTTTATTCAACCAGTGAGAGAATTTTAATCAAAATTCGGTCATTATTTAATTGATAAAATAATTATCAATAAATTATTAATTATCGAGGATTATTATTTAATTAAGAGGGGGAGGGGGTTGATTGTGACCCCATTGGAGACAACGGGAGAAATTAGTTGCCATGAAAGAACAACCCATTCTGCCCCAGGGGTTCTCTCAAAAACTAAAAAGAAAGAGAAAAAAAAATTGTGTTCCTTCTAACTCTAGAAATAATGGGGCAAAATGGGTTATTTCTTTTATTTATCCAGAGAGATTTTCAATAAAAATTTGCTCATGATTTAATTGATAAAATGATTATGAATAAATGATTAATTATCGAAGATAATTAATAATTTATCGAAGATAATTAATAATTTATTGATTTTTTTTTTCATTAAAATTGTCTCACTCGATGAATGAGACAATTTTAATGAAAATTCGGTCATTATTTAATTCATAAAATAATTATCAATAAATTATTAACTAATTATATTGATGAAAGAGAATGAAATAACGTTTTTAAAACACTTACCAGAAAACCGCACGTGACAATAGTCATCAACTCCTTTGGAAGTCCCGAAAAAAATTGTACGAGGAAGGTGTGTGGACGACGGTACGTGTTGTGTGTGTCCGGCATGGGGCGCGGGAACTTCCGAACTGCCTCTCGTGTGTGTTGATCGGCCACAGCAGCAGTAGCGAGTGCCCCTGGTTCCCCCGAAAAAAAAAAAAATCAAATGGTTCCACTGGGTGAGGTCAGGAGGGAATGAAAGACAAAAGGGGGAGACAGAATCACTCGCGAACGGGTTCTCCATTTCTCCCCTTTTTTTTTCTTGCTCGAAATATTTTGAATTTTCGGGAGAGGATTCACGGATTTTTCCCCCTATCGCTTAGCAGGTTTTTTTTTACAATTTTTTTTTCCCTCGACTATTTTCAGTTATTTATTTCAAAGTTTGGGGAAAGGGGAATGTGAAAAATGCACATGAATGGGTTTTTTGTTGAGGCGACGCCAAGAAGACAGAAGAGAATACTGAAGAGGTGGCGAAGACGTGAGCGAAGTTACTGTCTAGAGAAATGGAGTTTTTTTTTTCTAGGTGAAGGAGGAAAGAATTTTATGAGGGGTAGGGGTGGAATTGCTTCCTTAGATATTGATTTTTTTTTATTAATGATAATTTTTCCAAAGTGATGATCCATTTAAGAATTATTAAATTTTTTCACTGAATGTTTTTTTCTTATTTTCTTCTTCCGTTTTTAGACAGTTTCAAGGTGGAATTGCTTCTTCAGCAATTTTAGCAATTAAAAAATGAATAGATAAATAAACAAATAAAATTTTAAAAAATATTGTTGGACAATTTTTTAATTAAAAATAATTTCTCCAAAGTGATAATTCATTTAAAAACGGTAAAAAAATTTCCACCGCATTTTTTTTCATTTTTTGCTTTCTTTTTTTTTTTTGATAAGAATTTCGCAAATGTCAATTTTTTTATTATTTCGTCAAAATGCTTATAAAATGGAAAAAAGCAGAAAAAAATTTCTTCATTTTTAAAAACATATTCTTACCATCTGATGGTAAATGAGGCATCTGCAGTGAATAAGTTACCAACTGAGTCTAGTTTCGGCAAATGAAGACGATTTTTTTTGCAATTTGAAATTTTTTAAGTTGATGACAAATTTTTTGAGTTTTGGGAGACACATGGGGTTTTTATTTTACGTTTCAGAGGATTATAATTGGAAAAAAATTGTTGTCAATACCTGCGCATGCGTGAAATCCCACCGTGCGATAGCCGGTCAATCGAATATGGTGCCTGGTGCAGTATTCACAGCGATATAATACATGATAGTGGTGAGGGAGAGCACTGGATTTCCCTTCTGCTCACGAAACCCTCGACTATCCACTTCTCACCCTCAAAATCACCCTCCGGCACTCGAGCATTAAAAAATAAAATTATCACCCGCCACTTCTCCGCCCCTCAAAATAAAATCACTCGCAATCATCAATAAATTGAACAATCAAATTGTTGAAACGATTGATTTGTTCGTTTTTCAAAGGATGAGAAAAAATGGAGAATGAGTTTATCATCGGATGAGTGAAAATGCAGTTGAGGGATTAATTCCTGTATTTTCACTGAATACGGAATCATCCCCCTATTATTTTCAATTCAACCATGTGATATTAACCTACTATCACGCGACATGAGATCGAAACAGGTGTTACACATTGTACATGGATAACAATGGTTGATATGATTCCCTTGTTAATTAGTAATTTTTCAATGAAACTGTATTTACAATTTAACCAATTACCTATCGTTGCGCTAAATTAATAATAATAACAAAATGATTACGATAATTGTTCATATACGGCACAGTGAAAATTTTAATTGTCAGAAAAGTTATTAATTGAATAAAAATTCTATTGCAAAAAAGTATTTTTTTTATTTCGTCAAAAGAAAATTGTTCTGACATGAGACAGAATATGATCTAGTGGCAAAACTGATCGTCTTTTTTTTAATTTTACGATG